GAAGTCACGAGCCGCACATACCAAACATGACTCTCTTGACATAGTGCCACCATTGTTTTATAAAAGAAATATAAAAAGGGCTAAAAACACACTCCACATGAGTATAAAACTTACAAGAGCATAACAGAAAACGTCAGCACTGTTGATCGTCAGGGCTGTGAAACCATGATGTCACCAGCCCCTGTAGTGCTTTGCCCAGGACAAGGGGAACTGTGGTGCTGCATAATGGTTTGCCCCGCCCCAAGAGTGTGAGAGATTTGCGGTGCTGTTCAAATTATTTTTATCATATAATATAAGAATGGAGTGTTTACAAGCCTGGGGGAATTTCCCCCTTCCTCTGGTGTCAAATATTGTTAATAAAATATTGTAACCCCCCCCCTCGAAATATTGGATAATATATTGTTATAGTTTATAATTTAAGTAGTTCATATTGTATATCATAAGCCGTAAATAGTTTCATAATTTTTAGCATGAGTTTCAGAAACTTATGTAATATGCCCACAAACAACTTATTTCAAGGTTTTCTAATTAAAATAAAGTTACGATTTTTTTAAGACGTGGAAGGAATGGCCGACTGGTACGAGGTATGGAGGTTGGAAGTTTTATCCTTCAGTTCCTGATTAACTTGCAACCCCACTGCTAGCTTTCAAACTTCTCACTCTAACTTTTGACCTGCATAGTGTCAATTCTTCGCTTCAGGTTTAAAAACTTACTTTCAGGTTTTTCTATATAGTAAAAAAAGGTTAAGAAAGATGAGTGGAAGGGGATGGCTGACTCTAGAGTATGGAAACCGTTCCTATCCTTCAGTTCCTGAATACTGCAACCCCACTGCTAGCTTTCAAATCATCTCACTCTAAAACCTTTGACCTGAACACTGTCAATCCTCTTTCCAGGTTAAAGCATCAGACTTGGACAAAACACATTTAGCATTTGCATTATGTGTTGACAGGTGGGGCCTCAATGTATCCACTAACATATGGCATCATATGTGGTTCCTGTAACTATATACAGTACTGTCAGTCTGCCAATCTGGTGGATCTTTTTTATTATGCCATATTTGAAAAGATTTTGTGCCATTTGTGAAGGGTATATCTGAAGAATTGCTAGTGTTTACAGCATATTTGGGTAGATTTACTAACAGCAAATAGACTGTGCACTTTGCAAATGCAGTTGCACTCATTTTTGCCCAGAGCTTAGTGAATGTGGTGAAGCTCTACTGATTTCCATCATGTAATCATGTGCAAGCAAAAATGCTTTTTTTTATTTTCCTTGCAACGGATTGTGTACTCTTTTTTTATAAGTGAAGCTTTACCTAATTTACTAAGCTCTGGAGAAAAATGAGTGAAACTGCACTTGCAAAGTGCACAGTCTATTTTGCTTTAATAAATCGACCCCAATATGGCAACACATTTTTGCAGGGTTACCAAGAGATGCAATCAGAACTTTCCTATGGAAGCAGCTATTTAATTGTTTTGATTTCTTGTTCATCTACATCACCAACTCCCTGAGGAAGACAGATGAAAGTTGAAATGCATAGGGTTTTGCTCACAAATAGGGGTTTTGTATCACCCCATGTGGATTGATGATCTTGACAATTGTTATAAAATCTCTCTTCTCATTCAATGTTTTAATGATTTCTGTATAATAAAAGTGAATTGTTTTATATTCAGTTTATGGTGCATAAAAAGCCCCATCCATTCTTTTTTCTCATTTTGGTTATTTGAGCTTTGCCCAGCAGTGAGAAGCCCACCATACTGTAAACAAAGGGGGTCATTGCAATGCTGCAAGTTTCTGAATTTGGATGAGAATCTAAAAAAATGAACATTTTGTTTTGTTAGTATAATAATCTCAGTTTTACTTGAAGAAGCCACAAATTAGCAATGTGAATATATTGTTTTGACTTTGAGGGGGCCAAAATACAGTCAAAAAACACTTTTATTTTATGACACACAGTATTCAGTTTTCAGCTTCTTAATAAAAAAAAAAACCAATTATTTATTTTCAATTCTTGATTACAATTTGCAAAGAAAGATTTACGTGTCCTTGCCATAATGTTTCAGTCGATATTAAGAGAAAGAGTAATTTGTACATCCAGGTATATTCAGTAAAGGTGGGAAGGGTATATTGATGTTCCTAACAAACATTTTATATCACATTGTGAAAAAGTGAAGCTGTAGATTGCTCAGAGATTGCTAAAGCTGGAGGCATAATGAGCTTTTATAGTTTATAATTTCTTTATATCCTTTTTAAAAATATAAACATTCCCATTTGTCAAAATAGTTTCTGTATGACAAGGTTTCCAAGTGGTTTGTTAGTGTCAGGAATGGACTGGCCAGCAATGGTGGGACTCACCTTTTTTTTGCAGTTTTGGTTGAATGCTCCCAGCAATCAGAGACTCAACTTTGCAGCCAGCTAACACCTGGGTTTGATTATTTGTTTTGGGGTATTTAAGGGATGGCCAGACCCACAAGTTTTAGGTGAACCTGCCTTGGTTTTTTGTTTGTTTGGGCCCTTTTATTTTGTTTCTGTCCTTGCATCCTGTTTTGAACCGCTGCTGACTTCTCCTGCTCAGATCCCGGCTCGCTTATTTTGACCATCCTTCTGCCTGTTTCTGTACCACGCTGCTTGTACCTGTTCTGATCCCTGGCTTGTGACCCTGACCATCCCTCTGCCTGACCCTCTGTACTACGCTGCTTGCTACCTGCTGAACCTTTTGTGACCCCGACCAATCTTTTTTGCTCCCCCCCTGTACCTTTTTGCCCTATTGATATTGACCCGGCCTGCCTGACGACGCTTGCTTGTATGTACTGTTATCTGTGGGTGGTTGGTTTGGTTTGGTTTGTTGCACTGTATTATGTTTTTAGTATTGCACTGCGTTTTGTTTGTATTGTTAGTGTTAATAAATTATATTGTTTTATAACATATCTGAGGTCTTTGCGTTTCCCTGCGTCAGCCACACACCTCTGGTTCACACTGGGAGCCCTGACATTACACCAAGGCCAATCCCTGACCAGAAGTGGCTGCACAGGGAAGGCATCTTGGTTTGTTGATGGGAAGGATGGATCTGATGAGGTTGCGTATTTATAATCTGCTAGTGTTTGATGACAGGGGAGTATGCTTATCAAACTCTGAAGGAGTATACCCGGGATGAACTGCTAGAATGTATACGGCTCGCTCATGTTCTAGTAGATCAGGGCACACAGTTCTCTGAGGTGCAGCCTTTGATTGAGGTTTGTGCTGAGTTGGTTTCATCTGGTTCCCCCGAATGCAGGGATGAAATTTTTGCCACCCATTTAGTGCAGACCAGGTAGAGTCCCTGGTGTGGTTATTAGAGGATGATGTGGGTTACTTTCTGGAGCGTTATTCCACATGTTCACCACAGACACTAAGAGATTGTATAAAACGCAGTGCAGTCTTTGGTCAGACAGGCTTTGTGTAAGCTCAGCTTTGTTCAACCATACTGCAGACATGGACAGACTTGTTGCACCCAGCCTCAGTCAGCTTACAAAAACCCAGTCCTGCTTCTAACTCTACTACTGTATTCCACCAGCTCCTCCAGTTACAGCCCAGTATACTTGGCTATCTACCGCATGTCAGTACCCTGTTCCCACTCGCTGCACCTATGCCCTGCCTTTAACCCTGTAAAAAAGCCCTCTGTAGCAACTGCTCCCTCTCCTGTTCCATCCTCCAGCTCTTCTCTGTCTCCAGCTGCTCCATTCGTTTGCAGACCTGCGTTTACTTGCAGTGCTCCAGTAGTTAAAACCAGAAAAAAAAGCGAAAATTCTTTCAACCAATACCATCCTGCCAGTATCCAAACCGGTGAACCTGCCTTCCGTGACTCAGCCTGAAGCCTCTACTCAGCCTGAAGCCTCTACTCAGCCTGAAGCCTCTACTCAGCCTGATGCCTCTACTCAGCCTGATGCCTTCTACTCAGCCTGATGCCTCTCTTCAGCCTGATGCCTCTCTTCAGCCTGAAGCCTCTACTCAGCCTGAAGCCTCTACTCAGCCTGAAGCCTCTACTCAGCCTGAAGCCTCTACTCAGCCTGATGCCTGCATTCAGCCTGATGCCGCTACTCAGCATGATGAACTGATCCAGCCCGATGATCCTATTAGGCCAGTTGACTCGGAGCCCGCAGTCTTGCCAGACGACTCGGTGCCCGCAGTCTTTGCCAGACGACTCGGTGCCCGCAGTCTTGCCAGACGACTCGGTGCCCGCAGTCTTGCCAGACGACTCGGTGCCCGCAGTCTTGCCAGACGACTCGGTGCCCGCTGTTCCGCCAGTTGACTCGGTGCCCCGCAGTCTTGCCAGGCGACTCGGTGCCCGCAGTCTTGCCAGACGACTCGATGCCCGCGGTTCCGCCAGTTGACTCGGTGCCCGCAGTCTTGCCAGACGACTCGGTGCCCGCAGTCTTGCCAGACGACTCGGTGCCCGCTGTTCCGCCAGTTGACTCGATGCCCGCAGTCTTGCCAGACGACTCGGTGCCCGCAGTCTTGCCAGACGACTCGGTGCCCGCAGTCTTGCCAGACGACTCGGTGCCCGCGGTCTTGCCAGACGACTCGGTGCCCGCAGTTCCGCCAGTTGACTCGATGCCCGCTGTTCCGCCAGTTGACTCGGTGCCCACAGTCTTGCCAGACGACTCGGTGCCCACTGTCGTGCCTGGTGACTCGGTGCCCGCCGCTTCGTCTGGGGGCCCGAGACCTGTTGCTCCGCCTGAGGGCCCGAGACCTGTCGCTCCATCTGGGGGTCCGGCGCCCGCCGCTCCGCCTGAGGGCCCCGAGACCTGTCGCTCCATCTGGGGGTCCAGCGCCCGCCGCTCCGCCTGAGGGCCCGAGACCTGTAGCCCCGCCTGGGGGTCCGGCACCCGCCGCCCCGCCTGGGGGCCCGAGGCCTGTCTCCCCCGCCTGGGGGCCCGATGCCTGTCGCCCCGCCTGGGGGGCCCGATGCCTGTCGCCCCGCCTGGGGGCCCGAGGCCTGTCGCCCCGCCTGGGGGTCCGATGCCTGTCGTCCCGCCTGGGGGCCCGAGGCCTGTCACCCCGCCTGGGGGTACGGCGCCCGCTGCTCCGCCTGAGGGCCCGAGACCTGTCGCTCCATCTGGGGGTCCGGCGCCCGCCGCGCCGCCTGAGGGCCCGAGACCTGTCGCTCCATCTGGGGGTCGGCGCCCGCCGCTCCGCCTGAGGGCCCGAGACCTGTCGCTCCATCTGGGGGTCCGGCGTCCGCCTCTCCGCCTGAGGGCCCGAGACCTGTCGCTCCATCTGGGGGTCCGGCGCCCGCCGCTCCGCCTGAGGGCCCGAGACCTGTCACTCCATCTGGGGGTCCGGCGCCCGTCGCTCCGCCTGAGGGCCCGAGACCTGTAGTTCCGCCTGGGGGTCTGGCGCCCGCCGCTCCGCCTGGGGGCCCGAGGCCTGTCGCCCCACCTGGGGGCCCGAGGCCTGTCGCCCCGCCTTGGGGCCCGAGGCCTGTCGCCCCGCCTGGGGGCCCGAGGCCTGTCGCCCCGCCTGGGGGCCCGAGGCCTGTCGCCCCGCCTGGGGGCCCGAGGCCTGTCGCCCCGCCCGGGGGCCCGGTGCCTGCCGCCCCGCCCGGGGGCCCAGTGCCTGCCGCCTCCGCCCGGGGGCCCGGTGCCTGCCGCTCTGCCTGGTGGCCCGCTGCCTGCTGCTTCTCCTGGTAGCCCGATGTGCCTCTGCCCGGAGTCCTGCCCGATGTGCCTCTGCCCGGAGTCCAGCCCGATGTGCCTCTGCCCGGAGTCCAGCCCGATGTGCCTCTGCCCGATGTGCCTCTGCCCGGTGTGCCTCTGCCCGGAGTCCAGCCCGATGTGCCTCTGCCCGGAGTCCAGCCCGATGTGCCTCTGCCCGGTGTGCCTCTGCCCGGAGTCCAGCCCGATGTGCCTCTGCCCGGAGTCCAGCCCGATGTGCCTCTGCCCGGAGTCCAGCCCGATGTGCCTCTGCCCGGAGTCCAGCCCGATGTGCCTCTGCCCGGAGTCCAGCCTGATGTGCCTCTACCCCGGTGTGCCTCTGCCCGGAGTCCAGCCCGGTGTGCCTCTGCCGGTGTGCCTCTGCCCGGTGTGCCTCTGCCCGGAGTCCAGCCCGATGTGCCTCTGCCCGGTGTACCGCTGCCCGGAGTCCTGCCCGGTGTGCCAGTCTTTTGATATCCCGCCAGTTACCAGACCGGGGCGGTGGAACATTTTTTTTTCCCAGCTAGGACTGTTTGGAGCGTCCTGAGGCCGCTCCTTGAGGGGGGGGTACTGTCAGGAATGGACTGGCCAGCAATGGTGGGACTCACCTGCCTTTTGATCTGCAGTACCAGGGCTGGCCAGCGGATGCTCCCAGCAATCAGAGACCTGATTGCTCCCAGCTCCCAGCTACCTGCTGAACCTGGCCTGTGACCCGACCAATCTCCGCTTGCTCCCCCTGTACCTACCTGCCCTATTGATATTGACCCGGCCTGCCTGACGACGCTTGCTTGTATGTACTGTTATCTGTGGGTGGTTGGTTTGGTTTGGTTTGGTTGCACTGTATTATGTTTTAGTATTGCACTGCGTTTATGTTTGTATTGTTAGTGTTAATAAATTATATATTGTTTATAACATATCTGAGGTCTGCGTTTCCCTGCGTCAGCCACACACCTCTGGTCACACTGGAAGCCCTGACAGTTAGTTGTACATTGGCATATGATTCCGTGTTGTGGATTGTGTTCATTAGCTGGTGTGTTTCCTTTAAGAAAAAGGGCTTTTTAATACACATCTCCTTAAAAAAATAGTTGAGTGTGCATATTTTTAAGCATTTCAGTATCTGATTTGTCTTGATATAAAAGTTGTCTTTTCTTGATATACTGTAAGAGATAACTGGCATGCCTTTGTATAGCTATTACTACATAGTGTTTTCCGTGCAACCAAGACACAAAGATGTGTTCATTCCATTCCATTCCATTCCATTCCTGTGAATCGGGCTAAACATTGCGTCATTGTAGCCTCCTCATGGCTGTAGAGCAAGACTAACTTGTCTAACTCATGTCAAATGATTAATATTCTAGGGCATGACCAATATACCTATACCCAGTGCCGTTACAGAAAATTCTTTAGTTGTTACAAAATTTTCCATAAATTTGAGTTTTAGTGTTTGCTGTATATCTTTGGTATAATGGTAGATAGTTTATTTTTTTTTTTATATATAAATATTTATTAATTTTCCAAAATAATTCATATTATAATCCTTTTCCCTATTTAAAGGGTTAGAAGAAAACAAACAGAACAATACAATCTTACAAATAGTTATCTCCCTAAAATAACTCCATACCCCTCCCCCTCGACCCTCCCCCCCCCCCTCCCACCCCATTACTCTGCGTTTTTTTCTCCCTACCCCCCTATAGAAAGTGCTCATAACCTGTCTAGTAAAGTTTTATATCTTCGTTTATTTCACCTTTCCTTTAAATCTCTCCCATTTTTCCCATTTTGCATGAAATATCCCCATCTTATCTACATGCATATAGTAAAGTTTCTCCATCTCATAAATCTGATTCACTCTGACCACCCAATCTTCTTCCGTCGGCACCTCTCTTTTTCTCCAATACCTGGGAATCAGACTCTTTGCGGCACTTAGTAAATACCATGTACCCAAATTTTTATATGTTTTCACTGGTACCTCTGTATTATGGCAAAGACAAACCCCTGGGTCTAATTTAATATTAACTTCAGTAATCTTCCCCACTACATTAACTATTTTTTTACAAAATATTTGTATCGCTGAACACCCCCACCATATATGAAACCACGTGCCTATTTCTCCACACCCTCTCCAACACAACGGTGAAATCTCTCTATTCATCTTATTTTCAACTTTCGGTGTAATGTGCCATCTTATCAAACACTTATAATTTACTTCAACCTCTCGCATACTGATATTTTCATGGGTTAATCTATATATTTTTTTCTGCATCTCTTCATCTATTTCCATCTCCAAATCTCTTTCCCATTTCTCTATATACCTCGGTTTAGTGCTAATATCTATATCCGTGAGAATTCTGTATATTTTTGCAATTCCATGTTTCCCATCCCCCTTTCATCTAACAATCTTTAAAATGGATTCCAATCTTTCCTATTTCTAAAAGGTCTTGGAAGTCCTCCTACAAAGTGCTTCAATTGTTGATATCGCCATTCATCCATCCTATTAAAAATCTCCCCTTTTTTCTTTACCAACTCCTTTAGTGATCCCAATTTCTCCCCCACCATTATATCTCTTAATCGTGCATCCTCTTTTATAATCCATTTCCCTGTGATATCCTCCCTACCCGGTGCAAAAAAAAACGGTGTTCCTTAATGGCATCAATAGTGAATTAAAAACCCACCCCTTCTGTCTGTGCGTTATATCCCAAAACATTTAAAGTGTACAAACTTGTGTCATTATCCAAACCCCTATATTGTGTGGGCACCCATATAATCCTACTTAGATTCGTCCCACTCAACGTATTTTCTATTTTGACCCAGCTTTTCTCTGGATTGTGCGTCCAGTCAAAAATTCTCGCCATTATCACAGATTTATAATACCTCTTAAAATCTGGTACTCCCAATCCTCCCCTCTCTTTATTTCTGCTCAGTGTTCCGTAACAGATTCTAGGTTTTTTATTCTTCCAGATATATCTTGTTATCATTTTTTTTAGTTCTTTAAAATATACCTCTGGCAATTTGATTGGGACCATTTGAAATTTATATAATATTTTGGGCACAATTATCATTTTTATCAGATTTATGCGACCTATCCAAGACGGGTTTCCACCCCCCAATCTCATCAATTCTTGTTTAATCTCATTTAGGAGTGAAATGTAATTTGATTCATACAGATTCTTATACGAAACTGAAAGTTTTACCCCTAGATATTTTAATTCTCTCTCTCTCCATATGAAGGGGAATTCTTCTGTATCTTTTCTCTTTCCTTGTTTGTAAGATTTATATTTAGGATCTCGGTTTTTGTCAGGTTAATTTTCAAGTTTGATAACTCCCCATATTCCTTCAATAACCTCATTAGATTTGGGAGTGTTATCCTAGGATTTCCCACATAGAACAATAAATCGTCCGCATAGGCCGCTACCTTATGTTCTCTACCTCCAATCCATATTCCCTTTATGTCTATGCTCTTCCTTATTGTAGACAGCAAAGGCACCAAAGACAGAACATACAGCAAAGGTGACAATGGACATCCCTGCCTTGTTCCATTTGTCATTCCAAAAAACTCTGACCATTCTCTGTTAACCATAATAGCTGCTGATGGTCTTCTATATCATTTTTCTATCCACTCTCTCATTTTAACTCCCACCCCCAGCGCTTCTAAGGTGTTCATCATAAATCCCCAACTCACTCTATCGAATGCCTTTTCAGCATCCACTGACACCAACACCACCGGGGTTTTCTCTTTTCTACTTTTCTGTATGAGCAATAGTGATCTCACCCCACTGTCTCTGCCTTCTCTCCCTTGAACAAACCCCACCTGATCCTCATGTATCCAATCGGGCATCAAATCCTTTAACCTACTCGCCAGTACCTTTGCGTACAATTTAGTGTCCACGTTCAATAGTGGAATTGGTCTATAACTTGAGCACTGGGTGACATCCTTATCCTCCTTATGGATTAAAACTACATTAGCCTGCAGAGATTCTTGCCTCATTTCCATCTCACCCCCCAAGGCATTCATATATGTCTTTAGTTTGGGTATTAACACTTCTCTGTATTTTTTTGTAATACCTCACCGTATACCCATCTGACCCTGGACTTTCCCCCCCCCATGGTACTTCTCAATGCTATTTCTATTTCTTCTTGTGTGATCTCTGATTCTAGGGATTCTAATTGTTCTTTACTCAGTTTTGGCAAACCTGCATTTTCTAAGTATATCCTTCTTTTTTTTTTTTTTTTACCAATTCATCCTTATTTACAATGTCTTGTGGGGCAATGTTATACAGCTTATTATAATATTCCTTAAATATATCCATGATTTTGTTTGTCGAATAAACCAACTCCCCTTTAAAGTTCCTTATTTTTTCTATATAATTCCTATTTTTCTTCTTTCCTTAGGCTCTCATTAAATATTTTCCCGGCCTATCACCCCATCTATATCTTTCACTTATTACTTTGTTGAAGACTCTCCTTTTTTCTTCCTTCCTCCATCAAGATCTCAAGCTCTTCTGTCTTTTTTTTTTTATCTTCTGCTCTATCTCTTTAGATGTTTTTACTTTTATGTATCTGTTCAAGATCAAATATTTCCTTTAAGAGTCCACTCATTTTTTCCCTTCTTTCTTTTTTTCTTTTTTGCCCCCATTGCAATTAATAGTCCTCTGATGTAAGCCTTATGAGCCTCCCACACTGTAGCCACCGGCACTTCTCCTGTATCATTCTCCTCAAAAAATCGTTTAATTTCCATCTCGATCCTTCAATCAATTTCAGGATCCAGGAGAAGTGCCTCATTCATCCTCCATAATAAACCTCCCTTTGTCTCCCTTCCCCATCTTGTTTTCAATATAACAGGGGCATGATCTGATAAGGTCCTTGCTTCTATTTTTGCTTCTACCACAGACTCTATAAATCGATGTTCTATTAAAATATAGTCCAATCTAGAGTATATCTCATGTACATGTGAGAAGAAGGTATAGTCCCTGTCTTTCATGTGCCTAATTCTCCATATATCCACCATTTGGCACTCTTGTATCATCTTTTTTAATAATCT